AAACGGCGGACGCCCCCCAGACGACTTCACGCCAACAAAGCACGAGCGCCCGCGAACGAAGACGCCCACGTACACAAACGACCGCCCACGTACAAGGACGACCGCCCACCAACGTGACCGCCCACCAACGAGCACAACCGCCCACGAGACAACCGCCCACGTATGAAGACGCCCACATACGAGGACGACCGCCCACCAACGAGCTCAACCGCCCATGAGACAGCCACCCGCGAACGAGGACTCATGGACAATGGCCAGCACATATGAAGGAAACGGGTGACGACAAGCCCAGGTGAGTGAGCTCTCCCCCTCTTTCCATCACTCCCCCTCCCTCCATTGCTCCCCCTCCATCACTCCACCCACTCCCTCCTCCCTCCATCACTCCTTCATTGCTCCCCCTTCCATCCTCTCCCCTCTCTCATTCCCCTCCCTCTACCCTCTCTCATTCCCCTCCCTCTCCACACTCCCTCTCCACACTCCCTCCCCCCTCCATCACTCCCCTCCCCTCACTCCCCACCACCATCCCTTCATCACTTTTCATCACTCCCTCCCCTCCCTGTAAAATTAAATTGTAGTAAATAGACTTAATTAATTACATTCAATACATCTTATTTTTCACTGGTCAGATTTACCTATCATAAGGCATTCTTAGCATTAACTTGTGGTGCAAATGACATGTAGTCCTCAGGATTCCTGAGGACTTGACAGAAATTTTCTCCTCCAACTCAAAATCACCAAAATTATAGTGTAGTCCTGAGGAATCCTGTGAGTCCTGCAGGACTCTGTGGGGGACTGATAAGTACTGGAAAGTCCACTCAAACTACTTAGAAGCAAGAAATGGTTGGACTGGCCGGAATTCTGTGTCCATTGGACGTCCGCTGGACTTCCGTCGGATTTCCAACGGACAGAGGCAGAAACCATCATAATTGCTAAGTTCTCAGTCTGCTGGACTTCCACTGGACTTCCAATGGACTTTCAATGGACTTCTAAGCAAAAAAGGCACAACTTCCAACAGACTTTCAGTGTCCAGTCTGCAATTCTTATAAGTAAATCTAAACAAGTCAGGCCCTGGTCAGACCTTATGCTAAATTCCTTAAGACATTGAGGTTTCAAAAACAAAGTATATT